AACTTCAACAACTGATTAAGGATACGTTCCAGTAACAAGGAGACATTATCCATTGACGAACCGCACGTAGACACAACTGGGCGCAGCGGAAGACCTGGCTTATGGTCTTTGGGTAGACCGTAGAATTGGCTCAGTCGTGAGTTATGTGGGAGAATGGCTTTGGCGAGTGGTTGTGGTAGCTTGTGTTGGGTGATCTCAGCGACTTTCTTGCGTGTGTGTTTGTCAAGGTCTTCTACCTTCACGTCACAGCGCTCATAACTATCCCGACACTCCAACATGACATTCGCTTTCTGTACATAACTGTCACGAGACATCACTACAAATCCCTTACTCTTGTCAGATGGCTTAACCACGATTCCTTCATTCCTCCGTAAGGTGGAGAGGGCCTCCTTCTCCCGTCTCGTTAGTTGACGTCCGTTATTGGAGGTATTGATGTCGGCCTCTCTCTTGTACAGTCTCATGATGTTTCCCTTCAGTCTCCTTAATCCGTTTTCCTTCTCATCATCCATGCTTGGCGCTTGCTTGGTCGTGGTTGCAATCTTTCTCAGTCTCGTGTCATTGTCTAGATGTCGCACGGGCCTCCCCGTAACCGTCTGATGAGAAGCTGCTTGCGTCCGGTTTTTCTCCGCCTCTTCTTTCCACCTCAGACCGAACGCCAGTCTCTCCACACCCACCTCCGCCTGCTGCACTGTTGACTTCGTCACGCGTCTGCCAGGAATAAACTTTGGTCCGAGCTCCATCACCTTTCTCGCTACCTCTGGCACCTCGCTCTCCACCGCTTCCTCAATCACAACTCTATTTCTCCGATTCTGGGCATCCATAGCTGGGGCCTGCTCCGCCAATGCCTCCCTACTCCTCACCAAACAGTCCAACTTCCTTCTCAGTCGCCTCGTCTCGTCCTCCCGTACACACTCGCTCATTTGACTGCAATGGCCTATCACCCATGTCGCTTTGCCTGGCAACATCCTCCTGTGGACTTCCCATCGCAGAGATGCTTGCCTGTCTTTGAGTCGTCTTATGCAGGTGAACTTGTCCTTTATGATTTGATTCAGAACTAGTTGCTGGAAATGGGTCTCTTGTTTGGCAACGGCGGCTCCAAAAAGATGCGTAGCCTTCGAACAGTTCCTAATACATCCAGGAATAACACCATGATGTCGACAGGCTGTAAGGAATTTGACAGAACACCTACTCTTAGACAACGACACACTACATTTCACCAATTCCCAGGGGAGAGTGCGATCTGGACCAACAGGATACACTTTTCTATAACAATCGTACACATCCATCATCAAACTGCCCTTCGTCAATGATCGTTTGGCACGTGATGTTCGTCGTACGGTGAGGTCTTTCAGTAAGGATGTGCGTGTGGTGTTCCAGTCCGGTCGGTCACTAAGGGACATGTTGGTATCGTCATCATTGTCCCGTCCTGAATGCCCGAAGGAAGTGTATAAGAAGAGAAGAGGGAGGGGGCGACCAGTTGAATGTCGTGCATGTGATGCTGGTATGGAGAGTGGTCAATGTTTGTCTCAGGATGTTATCTACTCGATGTTATGTGCACTTTGCGCCGAGGAGTACGTTGGCGAGACCGAGCGAACTGCAAGGAAGAGATTTGAGGAGCATTGCAGAGAGGCCAAAGCGCAAGCGCTGGAGACGCCATGGGGAGAACACTATGCAGAACACCACCCACAACAAGCAATCACATCTACACCCATCACCAACGCATCAATTCTCGCCAAGCAGTCTTCCCTTGTGAATCGTCGTATACGTGAAGCAATGTTCATTCGTGATAAACGCCCAAGTGTTAACAGGGATCGTGGCTGGAGACTGCTGGACACAGTGTGAAATTATTGTGTTAGATGCTGGTGTTGTAAATTGTGGTAGACTGTGATGTTGCGGATATTTGATGTTTATGTGTGCTAGCTGGTTATATGGTTATATAGTGCTTAGCAAATAGTTGTCGTCATCTTTGTCTTCACACCCATGGACCCAACTACATTGATGCTTTGCATTCTATTCTCCATGTCACTAACACATATTCACACTTACAGACACAGCTCTCCACTTCGCTCCTTCACTTTCTACCAACACACTTCACCATTGCTGCTGGTAACCACACTTCTCGTGCTTTCCCTTCACATCGCACTAACACATATTCACACTTACAGACACAGCTCTCCACTGGTCTCTTTCGCTCCTTCCCTTTCTACCAACACACTTCACCATTGCTGCTACCCTTCACACATACAAAGATTTCCAGCACTACCGCACCACACAGCATATATACTCGTTTCAGTTTTTGTTAGCTTTAGTTGAATGGTTTTCTTTTTCACCCTGAAGATGGGCCATGCCCGAAAATTTGGTGCATTCAATTTATATCTAATATTATTTGTTTTTTTTTGGAAGTGAAGTGAACATATGCAGCAAAGAGACCGTAGTTGGAGAGTTAGAAGTGAGGTACCCTATAATGAATAATAATAAAAGCAGTGAAATTGGCAGAACCATACAAACCTTATGGCGGGCAATTCCTCGAATTCTGCTCCATTTCTTTATCCACATACCAAACATGCATGAAACTTACCAGAAAAAGTACCGAATTATGCCAATTTTTCTGCCGGCATTATCCGCATATGCCTAGATGAGGGTAGTTAGGGAGGGGCTGATCCGTGCTCGGAGTTGCCTCCGCACGAGCAGCTTATGCTTGAAGAGTTCCGTGAAGCGGAGTAGGCTGTTCTTGGTCAGCAGAGGTTGGATGGCTGGGTGGGTTCCCGCTAAGGACCGATTTCCACTACGGTACCATGAGGGCCTATAGTATCTGAGTCGTAGAAATGTGGTCACATTTGGCCGTAGTCTGAAGCCGCCGATTTCCAAAAAATAAGGGCTTACAAAAGTAACTTACAAAAAGTAAGTAGTTGTAGGGCGCGCTCACACTGCGACCAAGACGGCATGCGTCTGTACTACCGTAGGGCCTTCCCTATCAAAATAATAAATTCTTCTACTATTCCCCCCCACTTACTACTACTAGTACCATGAGCACTGGGCCATACTCTCGGTGGCAAGTCGCCGTTGAAGTCGGTGCTGCAAGAAATCATAATAATTATCACAATGACCTGACGTCACAACTAAAGAAAAACAAAAACAAAAGTGCTGACTGCTGTCACTGCATGCATGCTAGCGCTAGTACAGTACTAGTACTAGTATATACAGAAGCCTTGCTTGGTAGTTTAAAGGGGAAGTTAAGGCAAAAATTAAAATTTCACCAGTTGTAGTCTTCGGGGTGCTGAGTCGAATGGTCTTGGTCCGAGAAAGCTGAGACGCTCCCTTCCTACTTGAATCCCAATCGAACTCGCGCACTTCCACCGAAACTGGGTGACTGCGCCCTACTAGATGGGGATTTGTATGCAAAATGTCACTAAAAGCGCCGTTTCGTTCTTATAAAAGCACGGATGACCGCGATTGGCCCATATGTTGTAGTCTTTTGGATGCTGAGTCGACTGGTTTTGGTCCGAAAAGGCTGCGATGCAGCGTTCCTCCTTTATTCCCAATCGAACATGGTTGAACAAGCGGTCACGTGCTCCTGCGTACACCAGTCAGCTGGTCACCGTGCCTGCAGGGTAGACTTGCTAGCCTGTTTGACCTTTTTTGGGTGCAGTCCTGTCACTCGAGTTGAACTCGAGTTGAACCTTGGTGTGAAAGTTGTCGCCTGCTGGCGTGGTGACCAGGTGATTTTGGCACCCAGGAGCACGTGACCACTTGTTCAACCATGTTCGATTGGGAATAAAGGAGGAACGCTGCATCGCAGCCTTTTCGGACCAAAACCAGTCGACTCAGCGTCCAAAAGACTACAACATATGGGCCAATCGCGGTCATCCGTGCTTTTATAGGAACGAAATGGCGCTTTTAGTGACATTTTGCATACAAATCCCCATCTAGTAGGGCGCAGTCACCCAGTTTTGGTGGAAGTGCGCGAGTTCGATTGGGATTCAAGTAGGAAGGGAGCGTCTCAGCTTTCTCGGACCAAGACCATTCGACTCAGCACCCCGAAGACTACAACTGGTGAAATTTTAATTTTTCCCTTAACTTCCCCTTTAACATGTTTTTCGATTTTGACAGCATGTTACAAGGCGAGGACGCGTAGTGCTCCTGACTACAACCATAAACCGGTTGGCAGAGTCCCGGTCTTGCGACCATTTGAACCGTATTGGGAAAACCCAGGTTCGGACCCTCGTTACTCTACGGGTTGGTAGGATTTTTATAATTTTCGTTTTTTGTGTTGTAGAAGTCGTCGTGTTGCCGCCGTAGTATTGTCGTCGTTGCTGCAGCTGCAGGGATCACGTCTGGAAGGATTTGTGATGTTATTTTCTTGTCTTCCTCTGTAATTAAATTATTTGTAATTTATATTTCTTTTTTCTTTTGTTCTTTTGTTCTTTTTCTTTTTTCTTGTCTTTTTCCAACTTCTGCCCATGGCGTCCTTCTCTCAGCTCGTCAGCTGTAACAGTCATAGTCATCACCATGACGACTGTTGTGAGAAGGTGCTCGCTGCCGACGAGGTTGGTGATGTCCCGACGAGGCCATGGGTAGGCCTTCACCACGTCGGAACACCCCGTCTGCACGTTGGTGTTGTGGTCTGGGTGTTGATGGACGTTGATGTTGTTGTAATAGTTGTTGTCGTTGTAATTGTCGTTGATTGTTGTTGTTGTTGATTGTTGTTGTTGTTGTTGTTGTTGTTGTTGTTGTTGTTGTTCTCCTTAGAGTTGTTCTCGTTGTTGCTGTTGGTCTTGGTAATACTAATAGTCTTGTTCACGGACCTCATGAATTCCACAAATAAAACAGAGTTATATTTCTTGAATCAGCTTCAGGGTTACTTTTCCTTCAATTATGAATGATTTGTGGAATGTTGCAATTGGTAACATGGAAACATAAGTTCAGTGCAGCTTCCAGTATGTTGTTCAGGTGAGGTACACCGGTTTTGGGATTAAATGTCGGAAGTCAGCATTGCTTACCTCGGCTGTTGCGCTGGACCGTCTTGGGTTCCCTCGTAGTTAATTAATTGTGCGTCCCCCCAGGGGGTTTGGGCTCTCCGGTATTAATCCTTTGTTGAAACGAGAAATTGTTTACTAATTAATTATTGATGAAGGGGTTAGTGTTGTATCACGTTCTTCGTGGCGTGGGCTGAGTCTTCTGCCAGGTGGACGGAGCTATAAAACACACAGACAGGACGGCGGTTATTGGTGTATCGAAGGAGAAGAGAAGTCTCACTGGCGGGTCTCTGAGAGAGACACACGTGTTGACTTTGGACTTACCGGGAGATCTCTCCAGGTTGTCCGAGGAGCTGATAAGATGGTCGTCGACGTCGAAGGTGAACGTAGGCTGAGGAAGATATGTGGAGTGTAGTCGGACACGACGTGATGGCTTCTTGTTGTCTTCGCGAGTTGTGTTCTGGAGACGTCGATCTTGCGTGGTGTCGTAGGTCGTGCGCGGGGATCGCGCGTAGATCTGCGTGCGGTGATGCTGGCGCGCGTGGTGCTCCGGGGCGTTTGTCGTCCTCGTCGTTCCGACAATGGTGAGTCGTACTTGCGGACTTGCTTCTTTCGCGATTGCGCCGTTGGGGTCAGTATTTGACCCGGGCGTTGTCCATACCGCTTGTTCTGGATATGTTGTGCGGTCTCCGTTGATCTGGGTTTGTGGTGGTCAGGTCCGAGTACGAATCTACCACGTGAACCGTGTGTGGTGGATTAATTATTTTATTTTGGTGGAGATCGAAAATGATCTCCGATCCGAGGAAAACGGCTCGATCCGGCCGGTGGTCGAGTGTGCCTGTTGTGTATAGCGAGAGCTGCAGAGTGCAGTAAATATTGGCGCCCCTATTGTAACTGTCTAGTCTAGGTGAATGGATGCTGTAATCTGTTCGCGTGGTACTGCCTGCTGAGCGCTGTGTTGTTCGGAAACAAGAGTCGAAGAGAAGGTTGTAGATGGATCAGAGCTGGTAACTAACTGTTGCTTGTGAGTGGTTGCAGTCGTCTGTAGTGCTGATACTGATACTTATTATAGCAATAAAAACTGCTCTATGGCAGTTTTCTAAAAAACGTTATTGTGTTCTAGTCCATGGACCCCGTCCAAAAAGTAAGAAATTACCGAAATGTGATAGCTGAAAATTAAAATTTCACCCAAAACCTCACAATAATCACAACACTTGAAATGCTGCTTTCAACTTTAACTTGTACTGCACCAACAATTGGCAACATGCATGCATAGGAAAGAGGATTTATTTATTTATTTATTTATTTCTGCACCTCGTGGCATGTCAAGACAGCCAATTGAATTGAGGAGAGGGTGAGACCAACCACGGAAGAAGAGAAAAAAAGAAAATTAAGAGCACGTACACAAAGTGGGAAGGGATTAGCAACTTACAAAGCAATGGGATGCTCAGCGAGCTATGCAGCGGAAGTGGTGACTGTGACTTTGTTTACTGGGAGATACTGAAGTGCTGTCTGACGAGGGTACGGAATTTGGGCATATCTGGAGCTTGTCTAACACTGGGAGGCAGTTGGAGCCACGTGGAGTAGGAGGAAAAGAAAGGGGAATTTACGAATAGGGTATCACGAGGGGAAAAGGTCTTCTACATGTAGCTTTTAATTCTGTGTGTGATTATTGTGAGGTTTTGTGTGAAATTTTAATTTCCATCTATCACATTTCGGTAATTTCTTACTTTTTGGACGGGGTCCATGGACTAGAACACAATAACTTTTTTTAGAAAACTGCCATAAAGCAGTTTTTATTGCTATAATTTCTTTTGTTTTTTCTGTCACCAATCAATGGAATGCCCTATATCAAGAGTACATAACCCCGGGGTTATGTACTCTTGCCTATATCAATAATTATGTAAATGATGGCCTTCACATCATATCAAGAGGTTTATGCACTCTTGATCATATCAATACCGTATTATACGCATTGATGTGCAAGCCTTTTCTGGCAGAAAATGGCACTAGCATGATAATGCATGTTCTCCTGCAGGTGAACATGTGAGTAGTGGTGGTTATACTTTTTTATACGGAGTTCACTCTGTGCATGTTGCTGTTGCAGAATTTCATGACTCTGTCATAAATTTGTCTTATTATTATTATTATTATTATTATTTATACTCATAAAAAGGACACACTTCAGGCTCATTACAAACATCTTGAAAGTTTTTGTCTTCACAAGTATACTTTCAAGCCTTCTCATCAGGTGAAATACAGGCAAGTATTTCACCTGATGAGAAGGCTTGAAAGTATACTTGTGAAGACAAAAACTTTCAAGATGTTTGTAATGAGCCTGAAGTGTGTCCTTTTTATGAGTATTGTCGCATTTTTGTCTCAGAGAAAACTATTATTATTTACTTTTATTTTACTAGGCTGCGCCTTGATCCTTGAAGGGTGGTGGCGTTCCTACGGATGCGGAAAGCCCGGCTTCCAGCCGAGTCTCACGCGAACCGTGAATTTTTTTTTTTTACTAGGGTGCTTCCCACAGATCTATGGTCTTCTTACGGGAGCCCCTAGGAAGGTTATGCATGAGTCGTGCCTTTCAGATATTTCAGATTTCCCCACCCTCGATCAGATTTGTTTGAGAAATTTAGCCATGCGCCAGGTGCGTGTCGCAGATGTTTTTGTTGATTCTGTGTTTATATTGGTTTATAATCATGGGTTATCGTGATAAGGTCATCCACCATCATATTGCACTGAAATCGTAATCCTGTTGATGTCGATACAACTTTTGGAAGTAGTTCAATGACTTCAAACTGTTAGTCCACGATTTTCTAAAACAACACAGCAAAGGAGGAACAGTAAACATGTATTAAAATGTAAACAAATACATTGCTAAGTCCGACACCTCGTTCCAACAACTACACTGATCCTGAGGATAAAAGGGTCAAGGCTATGGTTGGAGGTACTGATACTGAGAGATAAACAAGGCACTCCATGATAATAAAATCTTACACATCTTTTGGTGAGTATGAATGATATCCAGTCGAACTTCTTTAGGACGAACACCAAGGGACCGATGGTATTTATTCTGTGAGTTTGTCTTAACCTATTTTATAACCAGTGAATACAATTATTTCTCAAATAGACATACGAATAGATTTATTCTACAGCGAAAGATTCTAAGCCACACCGACTCATTGACTCGTCTCCTATCAAACAAAAGAGTCACTAGAGAGGTTCTGCAAAACGAAAATGCGTACAAACTTTCCCTCTACATCAGGAGGTGCGAAACTTCGCACGAACTTTCGCAACTTTGGAAGCGAAACTTGCAGGGAACACGAAATGAACTGTCGTAGGAAATTTCGTGAGATCGGGTCATGGCGTACGTGCACTTGGCCCGCGCAAACTACGAAAATGTGCAGAACGCAAAGTTCGTGCAAAAATTCGTACACACTTTCGCAAGGACTGTCGCGAAACTTCGTTCGAATTTTCGTTTTGCAGAACCTCTCTACTGAACCTTTCTTTAGCAACTTGACAGCAACTGTAACAGCAACAGAGAAAGTACGATACACGGACTGCACATTCTTGCAGGTACTACAGGTACTACCAAGAGTACATGAAAACCCGGGGGTTTCATGTACTCTTGGTACTACAAACAGATTGCAGATCGTAATTCTTGCATTAACGGCACGAAACTTTATTTGGGGCAGTGCAATCTCGGCGGTACTCACAAATCAAACAGCCCAGACTCGAGTAAACAAATGCAATCATACAAGTACGAGATTTTCACGAGACTGCACCCATTGGCTCGTTTCGTATGAAGCAAACAAGTTACTGAACCTCTCCACAATGGAGATTTTCCTTGATATGCGAATTTATTTGGCAAACTCGGTCAATGAGTCCTTGAACCTTTCCCTCCAGATTGGGAACTGCCAACGATAGTATGCCACTGACCAGTGCCTTACTTGTAACGTACTAATGTGCAATGGATATGAGTATTTCGACAACACATCTAACATAAGCCTTACCGTCAAGAAGGTGAACTCGCGTTCTTCGCACACTGTAGGCAAGGGCAAAGAGATAAAAATGGATCTAAATCCGAATAAAATCAGCACACGTTTCCGTAAATGAAAGGGTGAGCATAAGCAAATGAATCGAAGGAAACTGGTCAACTCAGAGATCACCTGTCATTGAGTATTCCGTAAAAGGAGGCCTCGGCAGCGGAAAAGCTACATTTAGAAAGGAGATCCTGTCAGCTTTTCCATTATTTATTTCATTCCGCCCAAAATCAGCACACTTTTCGTAAATGAAAGAGTCAACACAAGCAAATGAATCAAAGTGAACTGGTCAACTCACCTGTCATTGAGTAATATTCCGCGAAAGGAGGTCTCAGCAGCGCCGAAACGAAATAAGCCAGGCCAGGAGACGAAATATCCGAAACAGCTCATGCAAGAAGCAGTTCCAAAGAAGGAAGTTCGTCGTGCATGCACATCCGAAAAGGCAACAACAAAAAGTCTGCAATGCACACGCATGCGGCCAGCCGGCCGCGCGATGGTAGGAGCCATGGAGTAGCTCCCTGGTCCAGGACCAGGTACCGAGCATCTTACGTAGAAACTTACGTAGCTACGTAGACAACGTGTCTGAATAGCGGTGTCGTTAGGTAGCGCCATGTGAACACAATAATAGAAAAGCTGACAGGATCGCTTTTCTAAATACATGGAGGAATCTTCGGTTGTTGGTTCAGTTATTTGATCAGTAGTGTCCTTATGGAGGGGGAAATGTGGGTGGTGAGCTGTCCTAGTGGTAGATTTACCCCTATTGTCTGTGGCCGTGGGAAGCCCTGCGTGAAGGAAACTGCAAGTGGAAATTGTTGCGGATTCTATTCAGACTTGATTTTCAGTCTATGGAAGAGGTATCTTATTAATTTTTTAATTTTTTGGGAGGTTGAAATTTCCAGTCGACATAGTGACGCAATTGAATAGTTGTGATTAGGTGGTATGATTGCGTAAGGAGGAGGAAGGAATTGGATCAGTTGGAAAATACACAAGAAAAAAAGGAAGGGGGGTTGGTTTGATTGAGTGCTGTATACTCGTAATGTAAGAAATTTGTATGTAATTATGTGGAAAAAATTATGGACGGGTAATTGCCATTGATTTATGTTATTATTATGACGGATGACCTGGACCAACGGCAATGGTCCAGGTCATCCGTCATAATAATAACATAAATCAATGGCAATTACCCGTCCATAATTTTTTCCACATAATTACATACAAATTTCTTACATTACGAGTCTACAGCACTCAATCAAACCAACCCCCCTTCCTTTTTTTCTTGTGTATTTTCCAACTGATCCAATTCCTTCCTCCTCCTTACGCAATCATACCACCTAATCACAACTATTCAATTGCGTCACTATGTCGACTGGAAATTTCAACCTCCCAAAAAATTAAAAAATTAATAAGATACCTCTTCCATAGTAGGGATCTCAGCGCGTGAACTGCGCAGCCAGTCTGCGCAGGTGAGATTTTCGATCCCAAACGCGTCCAGTGCAGAAATCGTGGAAAAGAACATTTTTTTCGAAATAAATCAAGTTGAAGAAGACAGTAGAAATG